GGTGTGAGAAGAAAGCTGAAGATGGTGGCGTCTTAGGGGCAGGAGATGGAATAGACGGAAGCATATTTCCCAGGAGCCTGGTGAGGCCCAGCATTCAGAGAGCCAGCCCAGGTTTCCTGACATTTGACCTTCAGACTCGGTGTGTACACTTGTGTCTGAGCTTATGGCATTAAAAATGGACGTCCCGATACCAGACTTCTCACCTGAGGCCCTCAGTGCTGCCAGAAACAGAGTGAGATGAACTGCAATGCGTTGGGCCCCTCTTAATGCCTGTGGCGGTTGCAAGGCCTGGAATGAGGAGGGGGAGAGTGGACTTAGCTATGTGTAGGGGGAGGGGGCCTGGTTAGAAGTTTCATTAAAATACCAGCTTGCTTTTTTCAGGTCAGATCTGGGCCGTTTCACACAGCAAAGCTATGCGGGCAGTCATCAGCACCAGTGTTTTTTTACACACTTGACTTGCACATGTCTGAACTGAGCGTGGGCTGATGAGCAGGGAGTGATTTAGAATGAGTGCTGACCTGCTGGCCACAGAAGGAGGCTGGTTCAGGATGTGTAATCCCAACCAGATGGCCGTGTCGGACAGGGCACCACAAAGCTTCTGCCAGGCTGGGTGCTTCCACCACGGCTTCTTCCCAGCTAATGCTGGCAGGCAGTGGTCACCAGCAGAGACTGGCTCAGCAGAGAGCTGGCAGCTTCAGGCACCTGGAGTGGCATCTGCTTACCAAGTAGCATGCAGAAGATCCAGGAAACTTGATTTACGCGGGAGCCTCGCTCCGAGACCTGTGTTCATGATGGACGGCATGTTGGCACTACTGCTCCCTATGCCCTTTGGAGCAATGTGAAGGCACCAGTGAAACTCGTTCAGGTCATTCATTATACTTGGTTTCCACTAGCCTTGGCCACATTCCCCTGCACCAAGCTCAGCTTTCCTCATCAGCACCTGAATAAGGCTCACAGTGTGCTGCTGGTGGGAGCTGGCAGGCGAGGGAGGGCTCCTTGGTTTTAGACTCAAGAACTAAAGGATGTCAGTTCATTCATGGAATTTCTTTACTGGAAACCAAATTCAAGAAACTGACCAAAAATTCAAAGTAATCGTCATTAATATGCACTAGAAGCTATGCCTCATCCGTAAAACACAGCTAATTCTACATTAGGTGCTCACTTCCCGACTTGGGAGAGATTGATCTGGTGAGGAATTTCAGAATAGCATGGAGAAAAGGCATTGGGAATTAGGTAGCCTTTGGGATATTCCCATCAAGTTCCCTTATACCCAACAAAATGTCATTCTCCAGCCAGGCTTGTTTAATTTTCTCTCTCCCCGTTTAAGGTGATCCTCACTCCCATCCAGGATGCCCTGGAGTGGGTATTGTAGGGAACTAGAGGGTGACCCTTGCTCCGGATGTTTTCCCATCTGATCACGTCCCATCTGTACTAGCCAGGCTCCAAGATGGACCCAGTGATCGCTGCCTTTCGGTATCCGCACCCTTGTATAGTCCTTCCCATATTGTACCAGTGCTGGTCTATGTGTCCAGTAGAATAAGGCAGAAGTGGCGGTACATCACTTTCAGTATCGGGCTATAAAAGAACGGTGGTTTCTGTCTTGGGTGCCCTTTCTTACTCCCTGTCTCAGGTGACTCACTGTGGGGGAAGCCTGCTGCCTTGTCATGAGTAGGTCCATGTGGTGGTGAACTGAAGCCTCCTCCAACAGCCATGAGCTTGGAAGTAGATCCGTCAGCCCCAGTCAAGCCTTCAGATGACTGCAGCCCTACCTGACATCTTAATTGCAATCTCTTGTGAGAGCCCAAACCAGAACCACCGCTTAGCTACTTCCCAGATTCCTGACCCTCAGAAACATGTGAGAGAATAGATGTTTGCTGTTTTATGCTGCTAGGTTTTGGAGTAATTTGTTATATAGCAGTAGATCATTAGTACACCATCCCATGCCATGACTCTCCTCAGTTGCTCCCCTATTTCTCATACAAACAGATCCTTGGAAGTCCCAGAAAGGCTGGAACAGGTCTGAATTGCTAAAGGGCACCTAGCTCGGGGCCAAACCCTGAGATACCCCCATTACATTACTGATTTCAGTCTTAGCGGGACTATTTCAGGACCATGTCCCCAGAGTCAGGGTAGGTGAGGTGGAGGCCTGTCACCCTCTCTATCATCTAAATATACATTTATCAAACCCAGAGAAGGGCTATGACAGGAACCACTTCAAGATTGATTGTAGCCTGGACAAAGGGTCTCCAAGGCCATAGTCTTCACCTGAGATACGATCACCTGCCTCACTGCTTCTTTGTCAGCTGGAAGAACTGAATATTCTCCCTCACCCATGCTCATCCTTACTCTGCTTCTGGAGATATTTTGCAGATAATCTCAATTTACAGAGGCTGGAACTGAGGCACACAGAGGCCAAGTGGTTTGCTTAAAGTCAACTAGCTTGATCAGACTGATTAAAAACAACAAACCAACTATTATTGTTTATTTCCATTGTAAATGTCTTAGACACTAAGGAGACAACATTTGCTTTTCTCCCGTAATTGATGTTTCTTAGTTTTATAAATCGGTGTCTGCACTTTTTGAAGAATAAACATGGTTTTGTGTGTTTCTGTGTGTTTGTGAGCGTGAGTGTGGATACAAGATGAAGATCTGGTCTCTAAAAAGTGAGATTTGATGTGAAACCAAGGGAATTTAGAACGCATGGTACCTTTGTAGAAGAGATTAACTCTGCACTTAGAATTCCTCCTTGTCTCCTAGAAGACCATGAGTGAGAGACCTGTTCCAGCTGCCACTGCCCGGAGCAGGCAGTGGCTTTGCACTTTTCCTAACTCCCTAGAATAGTTAGTGAGAAAGTAGCGCTGGATGTCATTCCCCTTATTCTATACCTAAGAAGTCTGATTCTTTTTCTGTCTGAAGTTGTGGTGCTTTCAGCTTTCCTTAGTAACTGGATCTCTCAAAGTTGGATAAGGATACAATGTCTTTTTTTCTAGAAAGGTCAGCAGGCCAAGCATGTCCCGCTCCCTCAGTACTCAACCTGCTGGAATAGAGGGAAGAGCAGGAAAGGAGGATGGAAGGAAGACTGGAGATGAGAGGGTATTAACTCCTCCAAGGTTCTCACCAGTACGCCTTTAACCAGTGCTCGTAAGGGTCGAGCAGTACCATTATGAATGGTGCTGTAAAGGTGTAAAGGGTGGCTTCCGGCCACGTGAAGCCCATAATAAATGCAAGGGTCCGTCAGGTCCTGCAGAGGAACTGCAGAGGCTGTTGCAATCTTCAGCTTCTCAGGGCTGCCTTCTCACAGAGGTGCAAGCTCTCTCTTGCTCTCTGCTCTTCTTTCTTAAATCCTACTTTGGTTGGGGTTCTTTATCCATGCTATTTAAAAGCAGAATTAGATAAAGCCCAAACACTAAGTGCTCCTAGGGAAGGATCCAGGCAGACTCCACCTTCTTCAGTTAAACTGAGGAGGGAACCATCTATCATTCAGCGTTAGGTTAGATTCCATTCGACTTCAGGACAAACCTGGTGGGGTTATATCATGTTCCCCACCATCTTCCTTCCCAAAAGAAGGCAAACCTCCTCAATGCCCCTTCCCTCAGAAGGAAACTCCTAGGTGGGGTGTCTCAGGAGGCAGCACCGAGACCTAGCCTAGCATCTGTTTAAGGTGGCCTCAAGACCTCGCCTTTTAACAGGCCCTGCTGCCGTTCCTGAGGTACCTGGGTGGTGCAGACGCTTTGCTCTTGCCTACTAACCTAAAGGTTGGCGGTTCGAACCCATCCAGCAGCACCATGGAAGGAAGGACTGACAATTGAGTTCCATAAAGATTATAGCCAAGAAAACCTATGGGCAGTTCTACTGACACACAGGCTAACCATGAGTCAGAATCGACTTGCTGGCAGTGGGTTTGGTTATTTTTGGTTTGGCTGCCCTTCCAAGGAGCCAGGTGCTGAGAGATGCGGCAACTTCCCACTGGGATCAGTGCCAGAACAAGTGGAACAAACACTTGATGGTTTCTTGAAGCAAAAGACAAGTTCCCTCTCAGACATGGATGACATATGAAGCCCTGTGCTCAGAAAGCCAGAGCCATGGCTCCGCTGAGCACTGCCAGACACCAGAATGGTAGTGCTTGGGCCAATGGGCTCCTGCCATTGTCAGTCCTATAGGTGATGGTTGGTTACCGTCCCCTTCAGAGACCTGCCCCGAGGCCAGAAACCAGCATGTTATCTCCACATACAGTTCCCAGGTTACCTCCCCAAAGAGGTTATAAGCTTCTTGAAGACAGGCAATCAAACATCATTATGTTTAGTGGGCACCTACTATGTGTCAGGTTCTGTGGTTTTTAGTAACACGTCCTTTGGTAAAATCATTATTATCTGATTTTAATAAGAAAATACTGAGATCTTTGACAAGTTACTTACGTTCTTTGTACCCTAGTTTTCTCTTCTGTGAGAATTAAATGAGATACTATGTGTGTATTAGTAAGGCTTAGGTTTTTCTGTGAGTGAGAGAAAACCCCAAATAACAATATAGATATTTCTCATGTGAGTCTCTGGGGGGTACAAACAGTTAACGCTCTCAGCTGCTAGTCAAAAAGGTTGACAGTTGGAGTCCACTCACTGGCACCTCAGAAAAAAGGCCTGGCAATCTTCTTCCAAAAAATCAGCCATTGAAAACCTTATGGAGCACAGTTCTACTCTGACACACATGGGGTCACCACGAGTCAGAGTAAACTCGACAGCCACTGTTTTGGGGGTGTGTGTGTGTGTGTGTGTGTCAGGTGAAAACTGGGAGGTGGTTCTAAAGGTACAGGTAGGGATTTTCCTGAGCTCCTGGTGGCAAAGATTAAGTGCCAGTTCAAGGGATTAAACTTGAAGAGGGTAGCCAGAGATTGGTGTCTTTCAAACCCAACTCAGCCACAGGTCCTGGGGTGCTTGTCACAGGCCTATCACTTACATCAAAGGTTGAAATTCAAGAAATTAACCCTGGGCTTAACCCCCACTTAGGTTCTCAGAGACGGAGACTCATCCCAGCATTGTCCCTCGACACGTCCTCACCTGTGAGAAAGCCCGCCAACAGCTCAGGGGTCCGCTGGGTGGACGGCCCCCTGCGGAGCACCCAGAGGGGCCTGGGAGAACCTTTTGAGATTAAAGTCTATGAAATTGATGACGTGGAGCGGCTGCAGCGGCGACGAGGGGGCAACAGCAAGGTGAGGCCATCTCAGTCCCCACACTGTGGAAGTCCCCCAGTAGCCCCCCAAGGCAGGTGCTGCGCAGTGAGCTGAGGAAGGTGGCTCAGACCCAGAGAGACATCCCCACTGGGCTTCTCAGGTGGGTGGGAGGCAGTGGCTCCCTCCAGCAGAAGGGTCTCGCAGAGATTTCGGAGAGGACCGTGTCTCTCTGTATAGAACATCATAAAGGCTCATAGGCCGGGGAGCTCGTGGTTTCGGACATTTTCTGGCTGTGTGTCTTGAGGCCTCATACCCAAGGCAGAGGAGCATTTGTCCAGATTGGAACACTTCCTGCTTTTACTATTTAAGGCAAGCCTATAATATTCCCACCCTGTGGCTGAGTCGTCTAAGGCAGAAATTTGGCTGAGATCCTCAGGTCCCATCCAAACTTCCCCTGATCTGCTCCTTTTCCACCTACCATACTCATAAGTTTCTTACTTTCTTTTTTATTTTTTGTTGTACTTTAGATGAAGGTTTACAGAACAAACTAGCTTCTCATTAAACAGTTAATACACATACTGTTTTATGACGTTGGTTGACAACCCCATGACATGTCAACTCTCCCTTCTTGACCTTGGATTCCCTATTACCAGCTTTCCTGTCCCCTCCTGCCTTCTAGTCCTTGCCCCTGGGCTGGTGTGCCTCTTTAGTCTCATTTTGTTTTATGGGCCTGTCTAATCTTTGGATGAACGGTGGACCTCAGGAGTGACTTCATTACTGAGCTAAAAGGGTGTCCAGGGGCCATACTCTCGGGGTTTCTTCAGTCCCTGTCAGGCCAGTAAGTCTGGTCGTTTTTCTTGTGAGTTAGAATTTTGTTGTACATTTTTCTCCAGCTCTGCCGGGACCCTCTACTGTGATCCTTGTCAGAGCAGTCAGTGGTGGTAACCGGCCACCATCCAGTTGCATTGGACTCAGTCTGGTGGAGACCGTGGTAGTTGTGGTCCATCTAAGTTTCTTTCTAGAAGAGGTTGTGTTGGCTTCATTTGAGCTGATGGTCATTTTCTTCTTCTCTCCCCATCCCATCTCCTCCTCTGTCTGTGCCCTAGGAGGTCATGTGCTTCAACGCAAAACTGAAAATCCTGGAGCATCGCCAGCAGAGGATCGCCGAAGTCCGGGCCAAGTATGAGTGGCTGATGAAGGAGCTGGAGATGACCAAGCAGTATCTGATGCTGGACCCCAACAAATGGCTGAGTGAATGTAAGGCCTGGGGCTCATTCCCATCGTGTGCCTAATGTGGTCCCCAGCTGAACAGATCTGGCCCGTAACCAGGATTAGAGCATTTCTGAATCTGAGGGTATGCCATGCCCATCTAAAGGAGACAGTGGCACTGCGTGAGCAATCCTGCTTACCGGGGGCTGCACAGTGGAGGGTGGGGACAGCTGAGGGCTGGTGAATATTGCACTTGCAAGATTATTTCTTCCGTGTCTCAGAAAGCATCTGAAAATGAGATTTTTTCCCCCTGCATGTGGCAGACGATCATCCAGACATAAAGGCTGTATTACAGATCAGCTCCTAGGCCACAAAATCACACTGCATAGCTAGCCTGAAATAGACAAGAATTTATAGAGCTCTTAATAAGGTAAAATGTGCAGTCCTAGAAAAGCCTCACAAAGAACCCAGAGAGCAAGAAAAACATTTCTGAGTGAAAAAATAATGTGCACAGTGTTATTTCCATTTAATAGCAAGCTCGGGATGACAGTAACCATCTAATAACAATTCAGGACAATTTTGCTCTCTTTGAAAGACAGATTCAATTGTCTCTTATTTATTTGTTCCTAGCCATTCCATTTACCACAAGATAAGGCTCCGATCTTGCCCCGAATATTACATTGGTATGAGGCCCAATGCTGGAAGATTTGGTCTGTGGAATAAAATATATTACTTTCATTAAACTTACCCTCTCCTCCCTTTCCCGTCCTGCATGACCCATGACCCACTTGTTCTCTCCAGCCCCTTCCTGCCTCTCCTTCCTCACGGCCCCTCCCCGGCACATCCCGTAGGCCTCTCACCATAACCTGGCCAGGCAGCAGTCAGGCAGGGCCTGGAAGCTGAGGTTTGAGTTCCACAGAAGCTGGTTTGTTTGTTTTTTCTTTTAATGAACTTTATTGAGGTATACTATACATACAGTAAAATGCATTCATTTTAAACGTACAGTCTGATGCATTTTGACAAATGTTTATACCCATTTAACCATAAAACATTCAAAACGAAGAATGTTTTTGTCACCCCAGAAAGTTTCCTTGTGAAGTGCCATCTGTTTTAATTTAAACCAAAGAAGCTGGTTTAAAAAATACTGAGTTTGTGTTTGAGGTGATGAAAAACTTTTGGAAAGGGATAGTGGTGATGGTTGCATAACGTGGGGAATGCAGTTGGTGTCACTGAATTGTGCACTTAAAAGTCGTGAAAATGCTTTGCTATATATATATATCTTTTTTTAATTGTGCTTTAGGTGAAGGTTTACAGAGTAAATTAGTTATATATATATATGAAACTAACAACAGAAAATAGTCTGTCTTA